TACTGAATGCTGCACATGCTACTGGTTTAAACACACCAACCTTGAAAAGTAAACGCACGATGCTCTTTGCCTTTTATCCAATGAAAAGTTTTGGTTTGAATAAAATCCAACACCCTGGCTTCCAAATCCACATTACTACCAAACAATTTAGAATAGTTCACAAGCACAAAGACCCAGAATTGCCACCACTGTACGTTCGAAGCCTTTGGAGAGATATAACGGGACTCCTCTGGAAGGCCCAATTAAGGTTTTCCAGTGTGGCGTCACATCAGCGGATTTCCAAAATTTTAAATTCAAATTATTAATAATTATTTGTCTCCACATTTATATCACTTTTTTTTTTACAATAACAATACTCGGTAGGTTAGATTAGTTATTTATTAAAAGTTAAAGATTCAATTTACAGATGAGGATGAGCGCCACCCTCTCTTCATTGAGGAGCGCGGCCTAATCAATGAGCTTCATGATGAAATTTCACATTTATATCACTTATAATCTTACTTTTTCATATGTAGTAGGATTTGGACATTACAATGATAATAAGAAAAAATGTAAAATTAAAATTTTTTGGTATCTAATAATTTTAAAATATTTAATAATAATTATATATCGAAAAAGTCTATTAGTTTAATGGTCCAGTAATTTAATGTAAATTTTCATTATAATAACAAGGGTTCAATCCCTTTTTCACTTTTTTTTTTCCAAACCACTTGTCCTAATAAAAAAATAATAATTATATAATAAATTTAATAAAATTTAAAAATTATATTATATCTCACATATTTAATATTTATAATTAAACATTTTAATATTTTTAATAAGTGTAAATGTTATAATGTCTTATTTTTTCTCTTATTAATAATTATAAAAAAATAAAAAATAAAATATTTTAATATTTACAGTGATTCATAAAAAATATTTAAATAATTTTATAACAATTTTAATAATTAAATAATTAAAACATCTTAATTTTTCATAATATCTAAAGATAATAATAAATTTATAATTTTATACTGTGATGCTGATGAGCACGCGTCAAGGTCAACAATAAATGCAAGGCAATATCACCCGGTGAAAAAGAAAACTAGAGACGACACACAGCAGCCCAAAAAGTTAGTTCTTGGTCGGATCTACCCGACCCAAATAAAATAGTAAAAAACAAAAACAAGAAAGAGGCTCCAGGCTCCAGGCTCCAGGCTCCCGATGTTCAGCCGGTAATTTTCGGCGCCGCCCGAGCAGCCCTGTGCTGCAGTGCAGGCCACGCCTTAACTCCCCTGTCTCTGCTTTAGGTGAACCATTTACGTTATTTAATGCGATGCTCTCTTCTTTTAATTTTCATTATTGAACTCGTTGCCAACAGCTTCTGCAATTCCACTGTATTACTCCATCTTATGCGGTGAAAGTACTGGACGTTTTTATTATGTACTCAACATTTAAGGGCTCTATCCATAAAACCGAACCACTTTGACTCGACTAATTAAACCGATTAAAAACCGATCAAATTAAATTACCTAATATTTTGCCTTTTTATATAATCAAATCGAATTGCTACCTGGTTAGTTTAAGGAAAACATATCAAACTAGATCAATTGTATTATAAAGAAAATTATTAGGAAATCATTTAATTTGACAAATCTTTTAACACTTAACTAATTTAGTCATTAACATATAATATAAGTATAATTAATAAAGTAATTTCTTATATATTATATACATGACTACGTCTTTCAATATATATGTTTTTAATTTCATATTCTTTAATAAGTATATTATAAAATGTCATAAATCGAAGAGTATATCAATCAATATCTATATTATAAATATGAGAAAATAAAAAAGCATGACATTCTTTTTTTTCCACAACCACAACATAGATTAATCAGAATCCAACATATTAAAATCAAAGGAAAAATTATTTAGACACCCTATGGTTACTTTTGTTGGAACATATATCTTCGTAAGTGTTTCTTTTATAATGCATACTTGAAATTATGAGTAAAGTATCCCTTGTACTCCTTATTATAATAAATCATTTTGATTCATCTAAAAAAAAAAAAACACAACATTCTAACATTAAAAATTTTAGACATTCAATCACAGTTGTAAGTAAGTGAGATATAACATGAAACTTAATTAGTTATTACCCATTATGTAGTTAAAATTAGACATCTTTGTAAATAAGTGGGATATAATGTAAGTCTTAATTATTTTTTATCTATCATGCAATTAGGATTAGATGTTTTGATGATCTATTTTTTATCATATTATTAACACTTTATTATATTAGTGTTTTTTATTTAAATAATTAGATTGTCTTCAAAATAGCTTACAGACTAAATTTGCCAATAGATTCAATCACAACTCTAAGGGAACATGGACTTATAATGTAATTACTAGCTAGTTCTAGTGCAAACCGGTCCTGGAAATCACAGTATTACTAACCGAGCTAAACCAATATACTCCGCTTCTGGAAAATGGTCCCTCTTCATCGCCATCTTCATCAAGTTAAGATCTTCTTTAATTAGAGGTATTTTGTTGAGGAGAAAAGGGTGTGCAAGAAGCAGCCGCCGCAGGCAGCAGAGTTGCTCACGCATGTCTCTTTATTTATGGGTATGTCTCGTTAAGTTTTTCTTAAATGCTTACATAAATTGTGTTTGTTAAATGCTTGAAGATTAATGGAAGTTATTGCTACGTGCTGAAGATGCTTGCAGGAATCTATTAATGATACGGAGTACATGTACATTTATTTGTTGCCCATTTGTACGGTTTCCTTGCACTTTCTTCTGTAATTATTTCAAACACTATCTATTCTCTAATTTGTTTGGTAAGACTTAGTAAGCCCATCAGGTTCATTTTACTTAATACAAGTTTATAATTATAAGAGAAGTTAGGAAGTTGAAATATATGTGTTCCTTCTAATGAAGTACTTAATAATAGGGATACAAAATTGAAATAAATAAATAAATTATATTACTTATTTTCAAGAAGTGTGAAAATTATCAACAATTTAAGTAATTTAATAATAATCTTAAATTTAAGTCGTATAAAATACAGATAAAATAAAGTAAAAAGTGAAAGAGAATTACCTTTTATTATGTAGTCAAAATAAAAAAATTTGTGAAAATTAAAATGGAACTGATCAGGTGGTACAATTTTGTCTTCCAGATGGTTTTGTTTGAGTTCCACTTAGAAATTAAAACTATGCATTCTAGATTAGTATTATTAATTTTAATGTGAGATGCTGACTGCTCCATCTTCTCCAAGTTATAGGTATTGCGCCTCTGGATTAGTGCAGATTGACCCGATTTAAGCTTTTATGGTACCACTACTTGTTGAGGTGAATGGTAATCGAAACACTTAAAATTATTAGGGTTATGAAAATTGTATTTCAACTTTTAAATTATTGATTGAGTTTAATTTGATTATTAAAAATAATTAATTAATAGTTGATAGATGAAAAAATTTTATTTATTATTTATTATTTAATAATTTAAATTATATTATAAATAAATATTTTTAAATACTATAATTAATTATTTATAAAAAATAAAAATATTTATATGGCTTTTTTAGTTTAACCCAAATCACCCTCTTGTTTGAGAAGTAAAATTTTATATGTATATTTATAATGAGTTCAGCTCAAGTTAGGCGCAGAGCTAAGGGGGTGTGGGAGCTAAACTTTTAAGTATCTGTTGATTAGGTTTCTTGAATTTTATTTTTGTAATTTTTATATTTAAATTCCTAATTTATTTCATATCATTTTAACCTTTTTTCATCAATATTTCACTTTGCCCCCGTAAAATTAATTTTTTACCGCCACTCCTGTCATAAGTGTAAGTTTTACATAAATATCATCCATTAATTTTACAACTCAACATTTGAGATAAATTCGAAAAGTTATACGTAATATCTTTACCATTAATAAATAAAACGGCAAATTGCACTTGCTCTCATTTTGGTTTGGGGTTGGTGCACTTGAAATCCAATTTACAAAATTATATACTTGACCCATGTGATTTAAAATTTTGCAGTTAACCCTCCAAATCATAGAAATGTGCTTTTGACCCAAATATTTTTAACAATTCATTTTCAATATTAATAGATTTGGGTTTAACCACATATTTTTCAAAGTATAAGAGGTGAAGTTCCCATTTTTGTAATTTAAAAGGTTAAGTGCACAATTTCAAATCACATAAAAGCCAAATACATATTTTTATGATTTAAAAGTTAAGTGCACTTACTCCACATCACATGGCATAATTGCATTTTTTCCCAAATAAACCGTCATAGATCCATTAATAGTATTGTTATTTCTACACTCTAAAATCTTAATGTCACTTTAAAACATATATTAATATAAAATTTTCACATTACTAGACTACTCATTTGTTCTTAGAGTAAAAAAATTATATATTTAAATTAAAGAGTCTGAAAAATCAAGATATCTTGACACTTAAGATGTCCATCACAACCACTTGTTGAGTGGGTTTTAAGATAAGTTCCACTCAATAAATAATTGTGATAAACGTTTTGCACATCAAGTTGTGCTGATTTTCATTTTTTTGTTTAAATTAACATTAACACCTTTGAATACAATATAACATTACTCATTTTTTAGAAAATGAAAATCTATTCTTTTTTTAATAGTCTATCATATAATAGTAAAAAAATAACCTTACCCATCGAATGCTAAGAAGTTTGCTGACGTATTCCACTATTCATAAAGACATCAACTATATATCCATGTTGGAGACAAACCATGGTGGCTGCTATAAAGTGTGGCTGCTATAAAGCCTTTCATTGGTTCCTCCGAAAGCGAAAAAGTAACTTAATCCATCTCTTTTTTTTTTTTTTTTCACATTGTATAGTTTTCTCCAGTATCATAAAGTAGAATCCAATATGATTAATTCTTCACGGCCAAACAACATCGATTGCACACACAAAGTTGGCATGGAAAATATTTAATCTTATGTTTTGTGTTTGACCAAAATAAATTAATCAGAAAGGCTTAAACATGCTCGTAAGGGTCACGTCACATACGACCAAAAGTCTCAATCTCAGGCCCCGACAACAAGGACAACCAGCCGCCCTTGCACCAACCTCTTTCTGCCTCAGCCAAAAAAGCATGATCTCTCCTCATGCATTAATTAACAGAATAATAAACTTCCAAGTAAGCTCTTAAATTTCATTACATTTCCTCCACTTTTTTGTTTCCAATCTTATTTTTGAGTCAACTAAGCACCTACATCATGGAATATAATTAGCAATTAAGACCAAATTAAATTAATTCATTACATTCTCTCCATGGCCACCTTGCGTTTCCTATCTTATCATTTTTTATTGTTATCTTTCTAATATCTTTCGAGTAAGGTCTTACCTACCAAGTTTTCTTAGGCTACATGAAAGTTGATGCGCTCCTAGTTTATGAATTTGTATAAAAATAAAAGTTTTATTTAAGAATATTCTCTCACCAATTTTTATAAAGGTTAATGACATTAGTTAAGATACACACATTGATAAAAAAAAAAAAAAACATATATATCTTATAAAACTCTTTCTAATAAAAATAATAATCAAGTTGGGACTTGAATCTTATTCTAAATCACCAGTATGATTGATATTGTTTATTTTTGAAAATGTGTAGTTGATTAGTGGATGATATAAAACGTGAACTTAATTGACCCAAAAGTAAATTTGAGAGCTTATTCTTTAACATTTATATGTCAATTTGTAACATTTATTTATTTATTTATTTGCCAAGCATATGTTATATATATAGGTATGGTTACACCCCCCAATGGAATCGTTAAGAGCACTAAATTTATATTCAATTTGACTAATATTTATAATTTTTAAATAAATAATTAAAATATTTAAAAATATTAATATATAAATTAATTTTAATTTATTAAATAATAATTATTAATTATTTTTTTAATTATTAATTTTTATTAACAATTAAATCAAATAAAACTAATACTTTTTAATACAATTTTAATTACCTTAATAGTTTTATTAATAACCATAACCACATTCTTTGTATAACCATTTAATTTGTTGTTTCCAAAATTCTCTACATTCATTAATTAAAAGAGTGAAAAGCAGAAATTCTTTCCGTCGACAAATCCCCCATCGCCGCCTTACATAACTGACACGCTGTAAGAGTATATGTTCTTGTCCTCTTAGTACAGACATCAATCCTTTTAAAGCAAAAACCACCGCATCTTCCGCGCACGCGCCTCGACAACAACAGACAAACTCGCCATTATTACCATTATACCCCCCACACCTCCACCCCTATAAAACCCCACCGCCCTACACCTTCTCATCATCGCCTTCAAACACACACAGCATTTTCCTACATTTTTACATCTCAAATACCTTCCACAGCAAGAAGGATGCATTACCAGGGTGGATATTCCATGGGGAGGAGCGTGGGGGACCCGTTGGAGAGGGTGGCGAAGCTGGCGTCGGAGAGCGCAGTGGTGATTTTCAGTATTAGTAGCTGTTGCATGTGCCATGCGGTGAAGAGGCTGTTCTGTGGGATGGGAGTGAGCCCCACAGTGTACGAGCTGGACCAGCATCCCGTCGGAAAGGAGATTGAGAGGGCGTTGATGAGGCTGATGGGAAGTTCGCAGGCTGTTCCGGTGGTGTTCATCGGTGGGAAGCTTATTGGCTCCATGGACCGTGTCATGGGGTCCCATATTAACGGCACCCTGGTGCCTCTTCTCAAGGAGGCCGGAGCTCTTTGGCTGTGACTCCGACGATGAAGAATTAATGAGATGGTCTGGTTGTCTTCGTGATCTTTAATTTCTCATCTTTCCATTTTTATTACATGATTTTTGTAGTTTTAGTAGTTTTACTGGTGTTCAGTTTCTTTCTTGGAAGAAAAAATCGAGAAGTTGTAGCTGATGGTCATGCCAACATTTGTATAGAGAATGGAAACTTCTATTGAGTATTAGCTTTAATTTAGATTTTCATCCTTGATTTGTCCATTGAAATCTTGGTTTGATGTACGTTTTCTTGCATGTCTGCGTGTTTTTTGCCATCAACTCCATCGTTGTTTCATAATGAGAATGTTAAGGAAGAGTCTTTTCAAGCAAATCAAAAGAGAGAGAGGATTAACTAAAATGATATAGGTATAATTTTTTCTTGTACAACATGAAATGACACTTTAGTTTTTTTTTTTTAAAATTAAGATTATTGAAGAATTTTGTGCAATAAATATGCATTCATCCGTTCAGCATATTGCGTTACAACAATATATAAAACATTATAAGAAAAATCCTTTGTATTGTAGATATAGCATTACCAAAAAAATTATTGAATGTAGACTGTCATGCACGTCAGCTGCCATGAGGTAGCAGGTGACATGAGTGATAATGAACTTCAGTCCTGATCAGAAGTATTAATTAGTTGATCTGTAGGCCATTAAGCACAAAAAGAATTAATAAAGATTTCCGTTGGAGGTATTTAATTGTTAGATCACAATAATTTGGGAACTTCGTGACAATTTTATTCTCTGTTGTGTGGCATCACAATAATAAGTGTGCTATGCAATTGTTAGGATGCAAGGGAACATGCTTATGCTGAATTTACAATGGCAGGAAGCACTCATCAATAGGGTAGAAGGGTAAGCACTCGACAAAAGATGACATATGTGGGTCCATAGAGGTGAAGACAGTGGGGTTAAATGTTTCTTGGATGGGAGAGAACAGAGAAGGAAGCTGACCACATTTTTATTTGAACAACTATTGGGCAGGAGTTCTACACACTTGGTGCACCGTCACGTTAGTGTTTTCTTTAGCATAAGTAATGTTGGAGTTGGTAGGTAAAAGTATAATGAATGAGTGAGATGATTCCAACATTCACTAGAAAATTAGAATTATCTAGCTTGAGTTGGAGCTCTTGCAACCTTTAGTTGTTTTTAATTTGGACAAAATTCAGGCTAAAACCTCATTTCCTTACATGGTAACTCCAATTGCTCTATGACTTATCGACAGGGACTCTTTCAACCTAAATCCTTTTTATTCAAGGACTTGTCTAACAAAAGAATAGACTTGCTTCTGTGCTCTACTCCTAGGGTTGAGGTTAGTGGCATTGGGTTTCCTCCCTAAGGTTTCTCTCTGGTGGATGAGTTTCTTCATCCCTACTTTCTTCTTACCCTACTTTCCTCCTCTTGATCTCTTCCTTCATCTTAGTTGACTGCCTTGCTTTGGAAACTCCAACCCAAAGGACCACAGGGTAGTGGCATATTTAGGTTTTACAGTGTTTTGGTATCCTAAGAGGTCAGCTAGTTTTACATATGTTATTGATTTCAAAAGGCTAGGGCTAGAATAACGAGGGTATTACTCTTGCCGGTGGATAGGGTTTCTCCTATTTGAAGGGCAAGAATCTCATTTCATCGCATCTCCTCGGATGGGATCTTGGTAGGGGTCGGACTTGGAGAAACTAGTTCACACCAGTTTCTGATTAGGCAACCAAATATAGAAGGAAAGGGATGTTGTTGGTGAAGTCGATTGTGTTCTGCAAGGGAAGAATGATATTCAAGTTGGCAAAGGGGCTTTAGTTCCCTTAATGAGTTTCGACAATAAGGGCTTGAAGAGGATTAGAAAAGGTGGGACCATGGTTGGGAGCACATTAAGATGAGTGGGGTGCCTTATGCTTGTATGGAGGAGGACCATGCCCCTCATTTTGGTTATTCTTTAAGAATAGATAAGGCAGCAACTTGTGAGTTGGGGACTATTTGTTATCGGAATCTCTTGCTCTTCTCCTAAAGCTGATTAAATAGGTGAAGACGTCTAGTAACTTCTGATGCTCATAGTTACTCTCCTTTCTACATTAGTAGCCTTATGCATCCCATACAACGATTGTAATTGCAATTTCTAGTTGTAGATGGCTTTATTTGTTTGATTGTCTATATCCATTATAAGTATAATTTAAATCTATTACTAGTGTTTTAAATTATGCTTTTGATTTTGTCTTTAAAATATATTACTTTAGGCTATAATACCATGAGATGGAGATTTTGTCGTTATTTTTTATTATTTAATATATTTCTCTATTTTTTATACAAAAAAATGGATTTGTCTAACCGTTGTCCTAAGGGCACAGATTAAGAAAATATTAATTGCATTTTTTGTAATTAATTTATATAAAAAAAATAAAAATTAATTTTAAATTTATCAACTATCTAATTAAATTCATTCAGGTGGTATTGGTGTTAAAAATAATATCTTACTTTTACATTTTTTTATAAAATTTTTTTACAAAATAATATATTTATTATATTTTAATCCGTGCTCTTATAGTACAGGTTAGATAAATCCTTTATTTAATTAGAGTGTCTTCTACCCAATTTTCTTTGTGAGATCTTTTTCTTTCCAAGCATTTTAGACGATCTTACTTCA